TGGAAGCTTTGACCCATCCTTAATCAAACCAGTTATAATGTTCATTATTCTTGCCAACTGTAACTCATCTTATGACGAAAAGAAACTATTTAAAAGTTAGAAGGATTCGTATAGAAATGAAAAGACAACAACAAAATTTTTAGTTAATTTATTGAAATTTGGCCTACCATCCAACGCTGTTTCAAATATTGCCAATTACACATTGGATTTTATTTATAGTTAGTTTTTAATCCGTATATATTTTGTTTGGACTGCAAATGTCAGGCTTGGAAATGTTCTATTGCGTATTATAAACACAACTCATTGTTTTTTGAGTTAACATTGTGAAGAGGTAATAGAATTAGCTGATATATTCCTAATATCAAAGTTTTATGTATTGAAATGTTTTGTTTAGGATAAAGAAAATGACTTTAAGAAATTAAAAAAAAATTAAATTTTTAATTTAACAATGGCATATAATCAAATTGAATTAATTTTATGCATACATATATAAACTACATCATTCAAAAATCCATTTCCGATTTTTAATTTTGTAAAATCCTTTCTTCTCTATCAACAATGCACAATTTAGTTAAAACTTCATTCGCGTGATGCATCAGGAAATTCTTATTTGCATTCAATTCAGTAGGTAACTTCCATTTCTCAGTAGAAAATAAAAAAATCAAAAATAAAAATTACTTATTTTGCAAATAGAAAAAGTATATATGTATTTTATTTTTAGAAATTTCTTTAAAATTCAATTTTTGAACACCTTTGTAGAGAAAAAAAAAAAAAAATTATGGAGTAGAGGAACCAATTTTCCTCAACATTTTATTGGATTGAATTTTGTGCTCTTCATTTTTGTTAAATATTTGTGTAGAGGAAAAAACATGTTCACACCGCATAACCACATGCAAACTTCAAAGAGGAAATTCAATGCAAACAAGAAATGCAGCAAACGGAAATCCTTTCAAAATATTTCTAAATTGTATTCCCTTTTCTTAGGTGTAAAGTATTCAATAAAATGTAGTGTTGCCAACCGCATTTACACCACAAACAACGGAAATAAAAGCGGTGTTTGCTAACAAAACTTAATTTTTTTTTCATATTCCCAAATACAGACAGGCACACCAATACTAAAAATCTATTATAAACTGCCATTGTATTTTATATTTATATATAATTCCTTTTTCCCTTATAATGTATGTATATAATGTGTGTTTATGTGTAGTGAAATAAAATATAATAAAATACATTCAAATCCTATTTTCTTCGTAAAAGGAAATACTTTTTCCTTTGCAGGCTTAGTACTCTTCCCTGGCTGACTACATTCGCATTTGTTCGCATTTGATTTTTATGGGATGCACAGTTAAATATGAAAAATCGCATTTGTAAGCACATTTATACTGCGATTTTCTGATTTATATAAAAATATAAAGTAAAATATAAAGTAAAATACATTTCTGAAATGTAACAAATATTTTTTACTGTGTACTCATACCTCATCATACTTTAAAGAACAAAAGTTAATGCCACTGGCAACAACAACTACAACAACAACCATACAATATTGTAGACACATTTTTGTTGCGTTTACAATTCATTTCATGCAAATCATATAAAAGTTTACGTAAATTCAAAAATTATTGCAGAAAATAAATTCGCATTATATTTTCCTTTCTGATAATTCTATTTAAACAAAAAAAAAAAGGACGAAAAATAAAAGAATTCTCTTTTTTTTGGTTTTTTTTTTTTGTTTGAAAGTCGAAACTTGTGCAACCACAAAATGCTGCAGAAAATGTATGCTGCCACATCAACACCCTTGAGAAAATAAAAACTTCAGCATATGATGATAACAATTTTCCAAAAAATAAATTCCGTAAAAGCGAATTACCAGCAACAATACAACAACAACAACACCAACAACAACACCAACACAACAACAATTGTTAAAGTAATAATACAAATCGAGCAACCGTAGTAGCCAAACTGTGTTGGCACAATATTAACATGCTTCTTCTTACTGGAGGTCACACCAGAGAGCAGAGGCCCGCGTACAGGATTGCAAAATTGCACAGAGAAAACGTGTGGAACTTTAGTAGTGATTTCTTTATACTTTTTTGAAGTATACTTTTCGGCGTAACAAAATGACTGTGCAAAACCATTTTTATTTTATGCTGCATTTCAGTTGCCTTTACACCATTTTTACTTAATTTTTTCTGTATTTCTGCTGTATATTTAAGTATTTCAATGCTTAAATATTCCCTTACCAGCAATACTTATCCATGGCGACAGCAACAGCAGCAACAGCAGCAACAACAACAACAACAACAACAACAACAAAATCACCGACAACGACAGTGCAATAACCATCAGACAAATTGCAATACATGTGCACTTGCAATGCAAGAAATTGCGATTTTATTTCATTTCTTCTTTTGGTGTTATTATTTTGGCAGCCGGAAACGGAAAGAAATACAATTTTACTCTATTTTAACACATATACGCATTCATACCGCACATATATGCTTTACAGTGTGTGTGTGTGTGTGCGTGTGTGTATGTGGGTTACGTGTGGCATAACTATCATTAAAGTAACGAAATATTGTGTGAAGTCTGTGGTCAGTTCCGAGTGGCAATGAAAGATGGTGAGTGAGAGGTGGTGAGAGGTGGTGAGTGGTGGTGAGTGGTGGCGAATGGCGAATGGCGAGTAAACATATTTACTTGCTTATTGTAAGTCTTTCAGCTTACATTGAATAAGTGATTTTTAAAATAAATATGAATTTTAAGTGGCAATTTCCTTATCATAATCATCAATTTTGTGGAAGAAGCTTTATGCATACAGATTTTATATCAATGAAATTGGCAGAAAAATTTTACAGAATTATGACATTCATATTATAAGATTTTTATAAGGTAATAACAAAGAGCTTCTTATAATAAAGTGTTATTAAAAAGATTGAACGCTAGCATCGAATGATAAAGCAGCACTAAAAGATTTCAAAGGAAAGGTGTTTTACTATATTAGATAGCATGGATGCTATTAAAGAATGATAAAGAAGTAGTGAAGAAGTTTTGGAGGTAAAGATTTTTCTTAGAATGCTAACAAGTTTTGCAGAAATTTTTGCTAGAACTACATAATTTTATAGTGACTATAACTAATACCGAATAAAGCTCTTTAAAAGAATTTGAAAACTGATGTAAAACACCACATTAGGGTTCAGAGTGCTGTGGTGCTTCAGAGTACTGATTCACAATTGTGTGGTAAGTGATCAATTAATTTCTGAAAGTAGTTTTAGTGAGTTAGAAAATCACATGATAGTCTTATAAGAGTTCCTGACGACAACCATATCGGATTGAATCATGAGCTGTACGCGCTTTATGATGACCACGAATTTATATAGGGAATTAAAATCCAATTTTATTTTATTAGCTTAGTCATATCATAGGATGACGATGCTCCTATAAAAAAAGAACTTGAACCAGCTGGTTGAGTAAGAAAACGAAGACATAGATCATGTCTCATATGTAGTCATCTAGTTGATAGAGCACTAATTGAAAATAATGCAAAGGGACTCACGCAGCAGAGGTGCACAAAAAGGAGTATAGTGTTAGGATAAAACCCGATAATAGCTAAGTAAGCTTGGTAAGGATAGGCGACATAATACAGCCCATTAACATCCAGCCATACCACTGCTTTCGTGGAATTTGGTGACGATGCTCTTGTGAATAAGATACTTGAAACTGGATTTGAAAAAGAAGACGTAGATCAAAACTCTGTCTCTAGCCGGAGTATCAAGTTGAAAGCGTACTAACAAAATATGATACAGATCCTCAAGAATGCAGGCACGCAGTAGAGGCGCTTAAAGAGGACTGTAACACCAGGCTTAAACTCGATGTCGGGTTGTTAAAGCCAAATCAGCTTAATCACGACAGTGACATTATTCAGCGAATAATCATCCAGCAGTACCATTCATTCGTAAGAATGGACGTCTCCAGTATTTCTGAAAAGGGATGAACCAGTATTTCTGAGAAACCTTCCTTAGAATGCCGCCTAGCTAACTTTCTCCTCTTCTATTCTCTTTAATGTTCCAGTCCTGTAAATAGGAACCTATATGACAGTGATTTAACTACGAATTCCTGCCCTATATTTTCTTCTCGTAAATTTGATTAATTGGTGAAAAAGTCTGCCATGTAATGTCAGTCTGCCATATAATGTCAAACTATTTAATTGCAAAAATAATTATTTTGCTCAAAATGCGATGATTTTTCAGCTCACACAAATATGCATATAAATAGCAGCAAAATATTGCAAATCTTTGAATGTTATGACGCTTCATTTGGCTCATGATATCAAATATATTAAAAATATAACCAAATGTATATATAACGCCCACCTTGAGTGTGGCTGGACATTAGAGGGTTAAAGTGCTTTATTTGCCATTTGATTGTCAATATTAACAGCTCAGTGATTTGAAGCTAATATCCAAAATACAAGTTTCAGAATATAATACCTACATTGTTTGTTTTATAATATCCATATATAAATGTTAAATTCACAAAATTTAAATTTTAATTGTATTCAAAAAGGGTAACACCTATAAAAAAAAGTTTATTTATATTCAGTATTTGTCTTCCATTTGTAACAAAGAAATATTCTGTGCCAGTGTTGAGTAAAAACTGAATTGGCACTCAGAAAAGAAAATCCCACTTGTCTAGGGATGCTAGAGTACAATTTATTTTATTTATAAATTTAAATTTCTCTTTATTTTCACCATCCACTTCAACTCTTATTTATTACTTATTTCTTTTACAAACTTTTTTCCGCAACAATGTCCGGGAAAACTGTTGTGCAAGTAGTGCGATTAGTGCAATGCAATCAAGTGGAATTTGCAACAAAGCAATTCTACTAAGACAACTACTAAGAAATATTCTTTAAGCAAAAAACTTTATTTTTTCTACGGCCACAGTTTTTCCTTGGATTTTCTTTAATTTTCTTCAAATCCTATTCTATCTTGCAGGTGTCATCAAGCGAAACTCAATACATCAGAACAGTTGAGAATTTAATAGCGTCGAGACTGAGTTTGAAACTGCAATTGCAGCCAGCGCACTTCTCGGGCGGCAGTAATTCGCATATGATAAATACGCTGACGGGCGGCAGCGGGGGCAATGTCGGTGTGGGCGTGCCATATAATACATTGAATGCGCATGGTAGTGGCATGCCAACAGGCGGTTTGGTATTGCGCTGCACAGCACAAATCGGTGATTTGTATCAGGAATACAAAGAAATCGAATTGGGTACACCGCAAAAGGATCCTGTGCCGGCAAGAGGTAAGTGCAATCAAAGCGAAATAACAATAAAAACAACAAGAAAAGAAAAAATATATAAAAAATTATTGCCATTTTCACAACTATTTTCACAATTTTTGCAATTTTCCTGTTAACAAGAAAATTTTCAAAACGTTTACCTACACTGGAGACACGTTCAATGTTGAGTGGGTTACTTTGTGTGTGTGTGTGTGTGTAATGTAGTGATGATTTAGTGTTGGTGTGTTGGTGTGTTTTTGATGTCCTTACAACTAAATAGATTCCTTGTTGACATTTTTAGTTTTCTCCTGTTTGAAAAATGACAAATGCATATTTAATCCTTTTTTTGTTACTTTTTTCCTGTTTGTATTTCTGACAACAAAACAATTTCTCTTGTTTATATTTTAATTATTTTGTTTACATTTCACACACACCAACCAACCAACACATGTCACATATATAGATATGTGAATGTGTGTGAGTGTAAGTGTGTGTATTCCAGTGTTTATCAACGTTTCATAAATAAGTTATCTGCAGTTCATTGCCTTGGGACATTATTCAATTTGTGCTCTCATATTTTCGCACAGCTCATGCATATTTTAAGTTCACCTTCAAATGTTTACCTTTTAATTTATACAATAAATTTTCTTGAAATTTATTTAATTTTAATGCGATTATTCACAAAATAATTCATTTTGCTATTTTAAACCTTTTATATAATATTTAACAATTTTTAATTAAGTGATAAAATTAAATTGAGCTTAAAATTTTATTTTAAAAACACTATCGAAATGTAAATATGTTTTATTATTGAAAAAACATTTATATTATATTCAATTTAATTTAATTTAATTTAATTTGATTTACTTATTGTTTATTTATTGCTTGACATATGTATATATACACTAAAGATAGGAATATATTTTTTTATAAATTTTAATATTTTTATTATCAAAACAAATGAAAAGGTAGGGAGTTGGGTGACCTCAATTATTGCCATCCTTAAAAGTAATAAATAGAGTTTTTAGTTTATTTTTACATATAAAACAGGCCATTCCAAAAACATTTTAAGAAAATTTATTAAATTATTGTTACATATTACTATATTATATATATTAATCATATTATAGCCGTCGACATTCTCATTCATCGCAAGCTTGATTTCAATTCGAATATATAATTCAATATAGATAATACAAAATTTGGAAAATTTTAGTAGGAAAATTATTTTTCCAGAAGTTTGTAGTTTTCTGATTAAGAAAATAAACAGAACACAATAAATAATTTTCAAATTTAAATATAGCCTCTGTGTTTTTAATTCCGTTCAAGTACAGAAACCACGCTATATATTTTTTTATTATTTATTTATTAATAAAAAGAATTTATTTACTTATTTTAAACAGGCCTGTTAAAATATTAATTTTTTAAAATTTCTTTACCTTGATTTTCTTGTTTTTAGTGCTTTTTATTGTTAAATTCAAATTCCAAAACCATTCCTCCCCAACACTTGGAATTTTTTAAAAACCCATATATGTTTTTTAAATATACTTAGCCAGCTAACAGCACCAAGATTTTTCTAATAAGTGCACGAATTGAGAGTCAAGAATATTAACTGTAAGGCTAATATTAATTTAGTTCTAAATTTGTTCTATTTGTTCCTAAGGAATCCAGTTACAATAACACAAGAAGATTACCCATGCTGCTATTTCTTTCTGATTCATTTCGATCTTAAAGTTGTCGTTCTTTAACAGTATTCGACTGTCAAATTTAACAAACACTCCAGCTTTAAGCTACAACTTATACATAATTGGGAATTACACACAACAATGTCCAAAACATTAACCATTTTTGGTAATACTTTACCGACTGTTTTACTAAACCTAATTTAATGGCAACTAGAGGAAACAGAACTGCTTCTCAATCTAAAAGATTTCTTCATTCTTTTTGGAAAAATTTCAAAAAACTCTTAAAGTGGAGGAAGCAGAACTGTTTTAGGATCTACAAGACTCTTTCATTTGTAGAATTCAAATCTTGTAGAATAATGTCATTTCATTTCAAAGCTATCCCATTCACACATGAAACTTAGATCTTGTGTTCAATCACTCTACTAAGCAAACTACATTCGAATGATCTTTAAATCACTTCAAATCGTGTATTTCTGGTGTGAATATAAAACTTTGTTGAATGCCTAATTCAGATTTATATATTTTCTTTAAATGAATAGAATGCCCAAAAGCTGACGGGGCAGAAGTTATATCGGAGTACCGAATTCAAGCTATTTTTTGAAGAATAGAAAAGAATTCCTCAATTTTCTAGTATACAGTCAATATTATACCGTCCAACAAGTGGCCTCACTGAAGTGAAGGATTAGCCGAAGTAAACCACGAAACTACTTGGGTCCTTTTTCGTCCTTCTATTCTCGGATGTCGTTATTGAGTTAAAACTGTAGTGGCTTTCGTTCGCATAACTACATCTCTTGTTAATACAAGCAGCTTAAGGTTGCCTGCCAAGTCATCACCAACCCAATGGTCTCCTACTTGCCAGTGCTGGCTGGACATTGGCACAGTATATGCACCGCTGTCTCCTTTTCTTCTAGACATAGTATCTTCTTCAGCAAGAGTTATCTTTTTGAGGTGATACTTGAAGTTCCCATGTCCAGTAATTAGTGAGGTCAGCCAGCTTAGGGTGCTCCGCAGATAGCTAAGCACTTTTTTCACTTCCCTGACCCACGGTTTCGGCAACATGAATTTGGTCTCTCTACAAGTGCTCAACTCTCTCCACCTCTCTCTCAACTACAAACGATAGAATATTATCGTTTATAGCAAACACAAGCAGCAGGCTAAATATGAATATTAAAATAAAATCTCATTTATATGTATTATAAAAGAAGGAAGGCTAAATTGTGTGAGAAAACTATAATCATATAAATATTAATTTTTACTTAAGTGCATTTCGACTGACGTAATACCTTTTTAGCTATTCCCAAATATCCATAATCCAATATCCATATTACAAATTTGTTCTTAAGCTACAAATAACAAGGGTTGAGCTTCCATCCTGCCAAATTTGTTACACAAGCTCGTACCTTGGACACCTGAACCAAGGCGGTACTTGACTTGCATTGTGTAAACATGCTGTGTCATCAACTATAAACTCATATAACATAATTAAAAGCTGTAGGCAAATTTCTCCTATTGTTTGTCAAAGAAATTATAAAAACTTCAGTAGAAAGATTTCGAAAAGTACTGAACCACAACAACAAAATTTATTTATTTTCATTATTTGAATTTTTGGGTAACCATGCAGCTGTGTCGACTATTGCCAAATACCCATCATCAACTTTAATTAAATTTATTTTTACAATTCAATTAAATAAATAATCAAATTTTAAATATTTTTTTCAATACATTCTCTAACTCTACACAATAATATTTTTATTTATCTTGCTTTATTATTAAAGATTTTGGCTTTAAAAAAAAAATATGCTTTCATCTGTTTTAAAGACTCCAGTTCTGGGAAAAAACAAAATATTTTCAAATTCCTAGGAAGAGTAAATCCACAAAAGATGAAAGAAAAACACTGATATCCAGCAGTTCAAATAATGACAACAACAAAAAATGTTTGTAAACAAAGGACTTGAAACTTGGAATGGTTGTTGAAGTAGATTGGCATGTATTACAGGACCTAAAATTAACCAATGGCGCTGCATGCAGCCATTTTTCTAGTGCCACAAAATAATGAAAATCAGTAGCAAATTGTAAACAAAGGAACAGCAGGGAAATAAGTAAATAAACACAGACAATACATAGATATTAGTAAATAAAATATGTATTACGGAATAATACTGAATATCCAGTAAAAATCAATAGAAATATGAAAAATAAAATCGTGATTTAATTTTTTACACTGACCCAGTAAAAAAATGTATAGATATTTGTCAGAAATAGTCTTTTTTCTAAATTGAGTTATGAATTATTATGAAAAGTATTGCCAATCCAAAGAACGAAAATGGAAGGGATTACGTGGCCTCAAGTGAACGTAGAAAAGGAAGGCCCTTTTCTAAGGGAAAGAAAAAGCTTACAAAACAGGGGAGTAACTGATCTATAAGCATCGCATTATACAGCCTTGTTATAGATTTGGTATTTGAAGGTTGCCAGTCGTAGTTATTATGGAAAAGCGATAGTACACTGCGACCTAAAAAATTGCCACATATAAAAATAAAATTAAATATTAAATATTTAATTATTTTTTTTTTGTTTTATTGTTTTTAGAAGTATTCTTCATCGATTAAATAAATTTTCGAAACAGTTTTACAACTTTAAAATTACTACTACTATTACTGTTGTCCATCTCTCCTAGTAGAGCATAAGGCCTCATTTTCATCTTAGGATCCATGATCTTAAATGTCTCAATGATCTGTTTGAACGTAGAGAAACAATCACCACTAATTTTTTTACTTAAAATTTCGGAACAAGAAGAAGCCATTGAGACTGTAAAGCGAATAACAAATTAATTCAACGTTTTGAGTGCTTGAAAACTCTTTTATTTGAACTGATATTTGAGAGCTCGCATAATCGTGGCACAGGATGATCTTCTTTCAAGTGTTGATATTCTTCAATTCTCTGAAGACTTCCGATAAACAAATGATCTATACCACTTAGAACTGATCATTCTACGTTATTCAAGTGATATCGTTGCGACATGACCCGGTTTTCTGTAAAAACATGTAATTATTTGCTGACAATTTTGTCGGTTTCTGCTCACTTTGGCAAATCCAAACAGTGGAAATAGTGGAGCGTACTAAGAAAGGTTGCGAATCCCAAAGAAATTTTTTAATCAAGTAAATTATTGGAGTGTTCATGCATACAATTGTTTCGGATTTCACCAAATATTTAATATAAAATAATATAATGTTAAATTTTTCTTCCCGCAAATGTCGCATCTTATACCAAAAAGAAACTATTTGAAAGTTATAAGGGTTTCAATAATAATAAAAAGACAACAACAACAATTTTAGTTAATTTATTGAAATTTGATTGCTCATACAGCCACAACAACGTTTAAAGTATTGTCAAGTACTCATCATCATTGGTCTTAGGAAACATTTTTAGTCAATAAATTAACTAAAATTTATATTGTTGTCTTTTCATTTATATTCGAACCCTTCTAACTAAAATAATATATTTTGCTCTTAAAGCACTACTGGGTAGTATAACGTTTTTTTCTTTTATTTTAAATCTTTAGAAATATTTCATATACAACCAAAATTTTCTCCATATCCTGCGGATCGTTTTCATAGCAAATCAACATGCGCCGCAGGATATTTTTTACTCCTCAAAGCGAAAAACGAAACAAAAGAAAACCAAAGCGCCCAGACGAAGGCAGACATACTTTGAATAGCAAAAATTAAGAAATTTTTTTTCTCTCTTCATTTTTATTTATAAATAAATTATTTATTGTTTTTTTTGTGTAATTTTTTGTGGTCTCAATGCGGACACAAAAGTAACTGAGACTCGCCGTTGCTGGGAGCACCTTTTCAGGCACAATTTCTAAGCTCGTATGACAAATCCTCCTCATCCTCATTTGGTGGATTTGTTTTTTGTATTACTATTGTTGTTGTTGCTGTTGTTGTTTTTGTTGTAATTTTGTGAAATTGCTTACCATTGATTCAAAGGATTTTATTTAGTTTTCTATAAAAATGCGAGTACACAAAAATGTAGGAAACTTTAATTGGAACACGTTTCGAAATTGCTGAACTGAAATCGGCACCACCGAAGCACCACCGTTGCTGTCTCTCCTTCCTTCTGTTATCCTTATTTGTGCTTTTGTCATGTGAAAATATTTTTAAGTACGTTGCTTTCTATTTTTTTTTTTTGTGGATATTTTTTTTTGTTTGTTTACTTAAATTTTCTCCATTTTTATCATTACGGGGGTTTATTTTTTGTAATTTTTTTTTTAATTTTTTTTTTTTTTTGTCGTCCTGGTACATTATTTTGATGTGCGATGTTGACTGCTCTCATTTGTACTTGTGTCATCCTTTGAAATCCTTTTCACTTGTTTTTAGTTGTTTTTGGTTAATGTAAACAATGCCATTATATATTTGTGTTTTATTATTTTTATATATTTGTGCCATTTTTTGCGTTTTAATGTATTTCGTGTAAGTTTGTATGATTGCAAGTGACAGTGATGACAGCGCAGCATACAAGCAGACAACTCTCAGTGCAACATACAGGAATCTTCCAACTACAAAAAATGGAATGGAAAAAGGATGAAATACATTAAAACATCCAGCAAGCAAAACTTGCCGCCAGGTAAAAAGTGTTCTGATTTATGTGAACGCTGCTCATTTATCATTTTAGTTGCTGATACGAGAAATTTAACAGAGGAAAAAGGATGTCATATACTCGTATGAAGAAAAAATAAAAACCGAGATGTATTTTGAAAGGAAGAAATTGTCTCTGCGCGGGACAATAAGAATATTTCACGTTCGAATTGTGGAAAAATGGCATTTACTCGTTTTTTAGTTTTCTTCAATTGAAATTGCAAAAATTGCTGAAATTAGCAAAACAAAACACGAAATCAATCAGTTTTTCCTTGTTTTTTGGGAATTAATTAAAGGAACTGATGAAGAAACAGTGAAAGAGAGAAAAATCTAGGGTTCTAACTTGAAAATAAAATATTTTTAAATTTAGTCAAACAGTAACAGTTAAACATGAATCGTAATATCAACAAACTTAAAAACAAATCGATGGCGGTTAATTGAAACCTTATGCTCCACAAGGAGATAAATGAATTAAGAAGAAAAAGATAGTGGTTAATACTTTGAAACTTCTAACTTTCTAAAAGAAACATCTGTATGTCAATTTATAGCGTACATATAGCCCAAATGTATGATAGCTCTCTAATAGACTACATTCATCACTCACATAGAATAAAAGACGCCTCATCAAATATAACAATATGTCTTCATTAAATCGCTTTTATTTAAAGCCTAAGAATAAGTTTCAGAATCTTAGAAATTAAGTTTACATTAGAAATGATTTTATATAAATCCACTACAATAAATTATAAAATGAATTGCAAATTATTTTAAGACGCTTCTGAAAAAGGAACCAGGACATATTTATCAGATATCAAGGCAGATAAGTTGAATTAAACAGGACAATCCTTAGGTAAGCAGAATGACAGATCTATCATTCCGTTTCAATCTAAAAAAATTAATCATATTAGCAAAAGGTTTAGCTAGGGGACTCACATGGTTTACAAGATTTGAATCTGCATCTGCCTTATTCTCTCGTACTCGCCTTTAACCATCGGAACTTCCGAATCGAAATGTATATTTCATTTCGGATATACCGACATGCATAAATTTTCATTCTTAGAATCTTGGCTTGAGCTCTTTAGAGGATTTTCACATTTTACGAACTGCCATTTCTATATAGCTGTAAACCGTACATCTAGATTGGTTTAATGGCTTGGTTATACAATCCAATATATTTCTAGTTTGGGTTCCCAAGCACTCCAATTTAGTAGAAAGTGAGGGTGGAGTGAGCTACCTATCCTGGCCGTCTCTTCTATGGAAACTCCAACTCCAATCGCTAACAGCTACAGTGAAAGACCTATTTAAGACCATTTTTTGCGACAGGCACGCATTTAGTATGCTCGTACTTTGTTAGTAAGCAGGTGAAGAACTACATGATCAATTTACTCCAAATGTCAAACCTGTGACTTGATACACAGAAGCAAAGCAGAATTGTCTAGATTAATAACTATTTTAACAAGGCATTGGTTTATATGACGGCATGGAGCTAAATTCAATTCTTAAGCTAATTAAGGAGAATTTTTTCCTCCCTTCATTTCACTCAACCAAACCTATGCAGCAAATGAAGGGCTATAATGTCATACATTTTTTTTTTAAACAATTACGATTATGGAATGACCTGATTACTAGACCAATGATAAAAGCACAATCGAGACTCAAAAGAGACTATAGAGACTCTCACTCGATTGAGAGGTGAAAAATAGACACAACCGCCACTAGTGCCATCACCCATGCGAAAAAGGGATTAGAATATTCCCGAAGTAAAGCATACGACTAAAATATAGTAGGCATAACACGATACTGTTTGGAGTGTAAATGGTAATGAGTGAGTTGCACTTGCGGCACTCTACCGATGGTGCAAATCTAATACCAGGGAAGCTTTGGCAATCCTGACTAGTAGAGTTTGATCCCTTAATTGTAGTGTCGTTGATGGAATACAAGACAGGAGATCTATAGTGGGAGGGTGTTAAAGTGTATATAGAAAGTACAATGATATTATACCGTCACCGATTTCCTTGTTCATAATTAATGATTCTTATCACTAAAGAATCTTTGAAAAACTACATATAGTGGACAATATAATAATTTTACTCTGTACAACACTTCACCAATCAGATTATTTATTCTTTATTTATTAAAATTAATTAGGATCAGATTTTGCTTTTTATCTTAATTTTGAATTATTCTATTTTCTATTCTTTTCGACATAATTTTTACACGGAAGGTGCAACCTATATGCTCTGCGGGTGTCAAGACTCTCAAGTGTAAATTATTTACAATTTTTGTGTAAAACTCCAAACACGAAGTTTGGATGCAACGCAAAGCTGCAGTTATGTGTGACTGTGCCATTATGATGATCGCATAACACACACTCAACCACATGCTCACCAACATGTATGGACAATAAAGTGACACGAACTGAAGTAGAAACAATTGCTTTGGGAGTATATTTTGTATGCATTTTGTTGCATAAAAGCTTTGAGGAATGCAATTTTTATTTTTTGTCAACTTTTTCGTTTTCCTTTCAGAGTATAGTTTTTTTTTTGTCCTATCCTTAGATGTGTATATTTAACACTATTTTTGTTTTTCTATTTTTTTTCTGTTTTTAGTAGTAATTTTTAGTTTGCTATTTTGTTATTCTTTTCGTTTAAGTTGTTATTATTACGATTGCAAAACTTTTATACTCTAAATTTGTTTTACTCACGTTTTATAGACATACTCCTGGGGTCTAATCAAAAAATTGTTGAAACTATAGCGCAGCGCACAAGACAATACTGAACATCACTGAATAGCAAAGCACATAGCACAGCACACAGTACAGCACACAGTACAGCATACTGTACAGCAGACAGTACAGCATAGAGTACAGCATGGTTGCTCACTTAAAAAGTTCCAATTTTGTTGTTGTTTGATAGTCTCAGTGGGTATGTTTGCTTGTGGCAATATTAGTTGCACTACAGAGTGGTGTACACTGAACAGTTAACAGTGAATAGTGAGTAAGTAAGCAAGTAAGCAAAGTATGCAACTCAAATTGTATGGAGTAATGCAATGCAAGTGCGCTTTTGTGTTTGTGTTTAGGATGGCACTTTGGTGTGTTGCAGGTTTGTGAGTGTGTTTGAAAGTGTATGTTTGCTACTTGAAAATGTTTTGATTATAACAAATTTTGAATTGCATCAAATCAAATTAGTTTTGATTGCAGCGCAAAAACTGTTACTTTATCTTTAATAAAAAAAAACTTTCATTTTTATCAAAGTATGGAAAAAGAATATTTAAAAATTACTATTAAGAAATTATATCTTAATCTTATATCTCATTTAACTCATTGCAGTGACACTTTCTTCTGGTTCCGGTCTACGCAACTTCTTCGAGGCTTACTTCTCCTCTTCAGCAACCTCTCCAACAAACAAACTTATTAAAAATGCTGTTTGGCAAAGGCAATTGCTTATACTGAGTGCAGCCGCAGCTGCTGTTATTGCATTCCATGGCTTACAACTGTGCAGTACCAGATAGTTCAATCGTTAAGTTTCAATCTTTTACAAAAAAGAAATAATTAAAAAATTAAATAACTTTTAGTAATATAAATAGGTCATAACTTTATGCATATTACAAAAAAGTGAAGAGAATTAAAAATATTTTAAGGTTAATATTTTTAATGTTTAAATGTGTTAATAAATGAAAATAAAAGTATCAAGAAGGCATATAACTAAAATAAAATTGTAAACAAAGAAAAGGAAAAAATAATATATGGGTTCAATGACTTGAACTACTGCAATGTTAAAAAATCGTTAAATGGTTAGGACTAGAACAGTGTCTAATGTACATAATCTGGGAGGTAGCCAAGGATCTCATTGGAACAACAAAATTTCCATGTAACCACAACATATTATTTATTATAAACTTTTCAAACCATCAACACCTCTTAGATACACTTCTTTGTCTTCTTAGATAGTTAGCCTTGCGACTAACCAAGTTTCTCTAGAAAGCGAGCTCTAATATAAAATGTAGATTTGGGTAGATTATTATAGTGATTAAATATCTGTTCAAAAATTATTCAATTCTTAATCTGGAGATAGTTATATTCAAGAACTATTTAGTACATTAGCCCATTATACTGCGTTAAAAATATTATAGAACTTCGATCAACTTAAGAGTCCTAAGACACATTTCAGGTGGAGCTCGTAGCTAAGTTTCTTTAGAAAGCAAACACTTAGCAAGTTTGCTCCAGGTTTCGCTATTTATATAATTATCAAATTATATATATATAGTACATATTTATTTAGATCGCAGTGCTTTCTAGCCTGTTATAATAATATAATAAAATTTATGAATAAAAATAAATAATTAATTAAAGACTCTAAAATAAATCTTAAATTCAAACACAATAATGGCTTAATATATCTCTAAATAAAATACTTATTTGCACCTACTTCTATTATAAAGTTTTTTCATTACAAAATTTTACTAAATATCTGAAAAAAATTGTATCCATTCAGTAAATGAAAAAGTCAAAAACTGACACCCCATGCCGGTGATCAAGAAAAGGAAAGACATTAGAAGACAAAAGTCTTAGTATTTAAACAACAAATGTACCTAACCAATAATTGCAAATATTGAGGGGAGGAAAGGAAGATCTTCTTCATAGGTAGTAATTACTGACTAAGAATAATATAAGATTAAGATGAAAATAAACACTGTGCAAGGTATTAATGTGACTGTATAGCGGGATTTAAGAAGAGACAGAGATGATATCCAGATATAGGGCTAAGAATGGAAAAGTGAGCTAAGCGAAGAATATCAGGAGGAAGATGATTACGCCTTATAAGATATCTTCGCGCCAGGGAAAGCAAAAAGACATCTAATCGCTCGATTTAAAAGATCTCTAGATAGCGGTGCTCGGAAAATGTTCAGAAAAATCCGCCGCGTCTGCGGTTGTAGTTAAAGCAGTTTCGGAGGAGAAACGCTGGAAAGAGTGTCACATCTGCTAACATCAAATAATAAGAAAAGTATAAATGGGAAAAGAAAAGTCAGAAAGTGACAGTCGGTGTTTGTTGTTATAAATATATGCACTACCGAGTGGTGTAATTACTTAATTAATGAAGTATACATTACATTCGAGCGGATGAGATTTCGAACCAAATGGAAAATGTGTATGCAAAGAGTAGCTGTATTAGTTGCTTATAACTAAGCAAATTCTGGTGACGTGGGGCATTTTCAAGCTTATAGAGTTCAAAAGTGGCATTCTGGATGTCCTGACTAATGTGTGAAATAAATTAAGTTTAGGAGGGAAAATAATTTCTAGGTATTTTAGCCTATCAGTAAGACTAATAGCAGAATATTCAATTCAAAGGTTTTACAATTTTGGCCATTATCCCGCGATTCTGACAACTCCTCATCTTTAGGTTAGCAGTATTATCACTAACATCTGCGTTAGAGTCAAAGACACTGTGAACGTTGCAGTATTTCGAGTTAATGAACCTTTAAATAAGCTTAAATTTTATATGCAAATATAAACTAATAAAATAATTAAAATAATATTCTTATTCCTAAGCCACAAAAAAAAAACAAAACTAAACTAAGCTAAATAAAAACAAAATAAACCAAATAAAGCAAAACAATTAAAAAGATTTAAATAAATTTTAAATATTTAAATAACAACAAACGTAATTACCAAAAAAAAAAATCTAAATTAAAAAGTAAATTATAGATAACTAAAATAATATTAAATAATAAATAACAAATAAGGAAGAGAAAAAAATTATAATAATTAAATATGATTTATTATTATAAAATGATATGAAAACTAGGTTAAAATATTTGTAAATACTCGCCGACGAGTAAAAATTGCAAAGCAGAAAAATGAATAATGTTTTAAAATTTATTGATATATTGATAAGACACACACATTCAAAGCTTAATTGAACACACTTACCAACACTTACACACACTCACCAAACACTCATACAAACACAAATTTATAAATATATATTTAAGTGTACATAATGTTTGCATATGAAGGTAATTAAATTAACAACTTCTCCCTCCCCTCACAAAAACTCCCCCAACCAATGACACTTGAATAAATAAAATAAATTGTTAATTAATTGTTTAAATCATGTGAAATGCATAAATAATTTAAAAATATATTAAATATAATATATTTATATAAAGTTTTTCTAGATGTTTATATAATGCAATTCATTTGCTTTTATGATTATTTTTTTATTTTTTTTTTGTTGTTATCAATGCATTTAAGCATTGCTTTTATGTAAATTACTGGATGGTTTTTTATTTTGTTAAATGATTTTAAATATTGAAGTGGTCTTTATTTCAATTGTACAGCTTAATTTACTATATAAAATATATACCTACGAAACCAAAGTAAATTCAAACTCAGCATACATAACCAACCAGCTATAATACCAACTATAATATATAATATTTTAAGTATTTTTATTTTATAATTATTTTATAAATTTTTATATTATTTTATATGATTTTATTACAATTTTACATTACTAAATAAGTAACTGTTGAAACAAACTTAAACTTTTAAATCATATGGAAAGCCTCTTGCCATCATCTATTTAATTAAAAGCAAAAATACTGATTATATTTAAAAACTAATTAAAGTGAAAATAATGAGTGTCTAACTATTCTATTTAAAATTATTTTACACACATTGAGTACTATTATTCAGCTGAAAAGAACTCTCAATTCGACCTAAAGATGAATTGTGCCCTTTTTTTGGGTTCAGAGTCTTCATCTGAGTCCAATTTTTTTCCAATTTTCGCATAGGTATAAGCCACTTAGAAACATGTCTTTTTGTTCCAAACACAGAAAACAATCTACACAACTCATTTTTGTCAACAACTACAACATTAACACTGAATACACTGCTTTTAAGTATCATCGAAAGAACACCAACGCCTGCAGTTAATGTGAAAAGCAAATTAAAACTATCATAGTTGGTCGGGCCTTACATTTTTTAGAAAGGGAATTAAGAAGCTCCATTTATCTCTCATTGGATTGAAAAAGATCTACGATATTGACCCATTAAAAGGTATCAGGTTTTTCAATAGGCATAACTTGTCCATATTAGCTTAGAGTTTAACTAAGAGGTTTTACAAGGATAGCTTAATAAAACTCATATAATGCAGTATTTACTTCTCTTGTACTAATAAATATCAATCTGTCAACACTAATAAAGAAAAACTTTTATTATTTTATTTAAAATTTTATATTAATTTCTAAAGTACACAGGATTTGTCAACTTAATCGTTTCCTTAACTAATTTTTTCAATTATTAAATTATTTTAAAGATATGACATTGAAGATTTAACGAGTTAAATGAAAACTTATTTTTAAAAAAAAATTAATTGCATACTTTTAGGCCACATTGAAAAAACTTATATTATATTAGATAATTTTCACAATGTGATTTTAGCTAAATTAGAAGCGTGTACTATGCTTTAAGTATGAAAGATATGTACTTCAGATACTACGTTTAGGGTACATTTATGTAAAGACAACACTTTATAAGAAACAAACAAGAGATTACTGCTTACTAGTTGATGTGGAGCCTCTATAGCAAGCAATAAAAAAAAGCTATTTGATATGTGAGATCAAAGATAACATTGTGGGTTTTTTTCATAAAACCAACAACACGTATAATAAAACAGTAATAGTTAGAAATTCAAAAAAAGAATGTTGCCCAAATGTATTTATATTTTACTGCCAACGATTAAGGTACAGTCACTGGTTTTTATGTACCAATTATGTATTATTATGTATTATATTGAGAGTTGTTACTTACTGTATTAAATAAAATGGTGTAGCATGTGTATTTATTTTAAATATAATTTTTATTATATAATTTTATTATGTAAAAGAAATCCTTATAATCAACACACGTACTACATTTTCTACTGCATACCTTTAGGCTGAGCTTAGACTTTAGTTAACAGTTTGAACGATATTGACTTTTACTCCCAAGTTATTTTTAGATAATTTAGAATTTATGCATATAGAAAAAAATATGTAAATTGCTTTTGTAAAAATATTTATAAAAAAAAAAACAAATATTGTATCTCAGAAAAAGAAATTATTAGCTATTAGTATATAAGAAAAATACATGAAAAAATTATTAAATAAAATCAAATAAATGTTTAGTTAATAAGAAAATACATCACTTAAAAACTACAACAAAAACACAATATAAAATAATTAATAATTAATTATTAATAAAAATAATTAAAAATGTAAATTACTGTTTATGTTAAAATATTTGTAATGATGCGTTCATAATGTATGTGTAAATGTAATAAATTATGAATAATAATTAAATAATAAAGTAAACAATATAAAAAAGAAATCACACTTTTTTCGAAAAAAAAAAACTCCATTTAATTCAATTTAATCACATAAAAATGGCAATAACACGTACGCGAACCCAAATAAAAATTATCCTTTAGAAAAATAAAAATTATCCTTTAAGGTTTTAATTAACAACAAAACGC